TGGTTCAATTTCACAGCTCTGTTGGTGTTTACAACTGTAAACTTTATCCTAATATTCATATCTCTACTGCTGTATATAACTATAAACTATATTCATTCTTCTGCACTTACCTCTCTTGTATACACCTATAAACTTTATACTCATCCTGCCATATTTATATCTCTATTGTTGTATACAGCAATAAACTATACAGATTCTCCTACAACACTCTATTGTTGTTTACCACAAAATGTGTACAAAGCATCCCTAATTAACCACAAGATGAAGATCAACATTTGTGTACACACTTTGTGAAATACAAAGTCATTACAAATGATAAACAGTGCAACAGTATCAATGTATACTTTACAACATACATATTATTAACGCTAAGTTGTAAATATATGCTGTCTAAATGTCACCTATTATCAACAACTGAATGAACAACACAGATATCATGAACACTGAATTTATATTTACATATCAGGAACGAACATTAAATATTCTCTTCTACTTTCATGAAAATTTTTTTTAAAAATTACCTGATGGAGTTTCAAAATCAACAATATCTGTCACTTTTAATGTACATAGATAAAACATATTTTCATTTGCCAATCTGTGTGCTAATAGGGTGGTAGCATTAGGCCATGTCACAGAAAGCAGTCCAAAGGAACATGTCATACATAACATTCAAAATAATTGTTTTTATTTACAACTACTTCTGTTAACTGAATAGTCTCAATAGTAATGACATTAGGCAACAATAAATATTAAACTTCACGGTCCAGTAAGTGGATAAAAAAAAAAAAACCTAGTGAACTTCATAAGAAGATAACAATAAACTACAGGAAAATGAAGAATAGTGACACAAGAATATTTGAGAATAATTACAAATCACAACATGCACTATGTACTTTACAGTTTTGATGTTAAACAGATAAGTGGCATGCCAGGAGACATGAAAGTAAAACCAAGTGTTGAAAAATGTCAACCAAATATTTTGAGAATGTGTACAATATTACAGAATATTTCAGATAAAGAATGAATGACAATGATTAACGATACAGCTGGGTCCTAAGATTGTACAGTCTTTTAGTAGTGACATGCGCCCCTTAACTGAGTAATTTGCATGTGCCCAACTACCTAAACAGTTTGTTTTGCAGGTAGTTATCCTTTGGATATTTTCTCCAGAAGATGCTGGTGTGTTGGGAAATGAATAGACAGGAAGACAGGCTGGTTCTGCACCAGGTAGAAGTAAATTGATGCATGACATGCTAGATGTTGTAAGGACTCTTTGGGAGCGCATAAACAGTGCAGAGGCACAAACAAATCATAATCTGAAGAGAATGGTGCAGTGAGGAATCACCGGAGGATCTATCTGGCTGCTGCTCAACACTCAGGGGAGAAGTGGGACGGACATACAATATGACTGTTACTGGTACCACAGGAACTGGAACTTTCTGCTGAAGATGGGGATGGAATGCTTATGTGAATGTTCCGAGTGCTATGATGTCAGTTCTGAACTTATCTGTTTTCACAGGTAGATTTTGCTGACCATGCCAGTCACAAGGTACTCTCTACATGTCATCAATTGGCAGTACCTCTGGTTCGGTGGACCGTCATGCCCTTCTCAGGGTAGTTCACCAATCATTGGACCAATGGTGACATCCAGCTCTCTTCTGTGACTCCTAGTAACAGTCAGCATGAAACAGCAGCCACCCCCTAGGCAACAGCTTTGACGGGCTGGCTAAACCAGGCGAGGGTAGCTGATCAGCTAAACTGATCGGTGAGTTAGGGAATGCATACCCAGCATGCAAAGTCCAGATTCGGCGAACTGTGCAGATGACTGTGGAGAGCCTTGAGCATGGCAAGGCACCAAAGAAGCCCTAGTCATCCACTGCCCCTGAGTTAATCTCCAGACATCTTGATTCGTCTTGCCATTGGACTTGGGCCAGCGAGTGAGGTCGGCGACTTGCGAAACTCTTCCTCACTTAAATCAAAATCACAGCGCAAGTCATCCTTTCCTTCTTTACTCGCTCAGAGAGTTAACATCGATCTAGAGATCAATACAAGGATATCCAAACACAGCAACACTTCGTACAAAAGTCTGGAATAGAGGTGGCATCAGTTTGCAGACGCAGCTCAAAGTGTACAAAGCTGCCATACTTTCTCTACTTCTCTATGCGTGTGAAACATGGACCAGATACCAGCGCCATGCTAAGAAGCTGAACCATTTTCACATAGTATGCCTCAGGAAGTTGCTGAACATAGAATGGCAAGACAGGATCCCTGACACAGAAGTCCTTGACAGAGACGGACTGTCCAGTATTTACTTGATTCTAAAACAATCACAACTTTGCTAAATAAGACCCAAATATAACCAGAGACGTTGACAGCTTTGCTTTGTTTTGTTGGACGTGGGCAAGATCTGGATTTTTTTTTCTAGACTCGAATGGAAATGATGATGTGTTGGGTATACAATTAATTAACACATGGTGATCTGTTGGATATAGAATTCATTGCTGAACACATGATAAACTGTTGGGTATACAATTAATTAACACATGCTGATCTGTTGGATATAGAATTCATTGCTTAACACATGATAAACTGTTGGGTATAATTCACTGTCTAGAGATTTGACTGTTTAACATATGCTGATATGCTGGTTCAGAGTAAACTGTAAAATATAGTGAGCTATTGGCTACAAATTACATTCAGCTGTTAAATATACAAATAACTGAACAACACGATGATCAGTGGGGTATAAAATTAACTGTTTAAGATGTGGTTAGTTAAGTGCACATAAATTCACTGTTTAGATTTTTCTATGGCAACATAAAAAGAAAAAAAAAAATTCATAATACAGGGCTTTTCATTGACTGGACAGGGCTTTTCATTGACTGGACAGAGCTTTCAAACATGCATTAATTGACCATAAATAAATGACGAACAAAAGTAAATATATGCCTTTCAAAATCAATTTCTGCTATCTACAACATTCGCCAAGAATGTTTCTCTAATTAGATACACCATAATCAGAAGTCCTCTGATGGACCACGCAACCAGAAGCACTTTACAATTTCACATAACTTTAAAAAAAAAGGAATAATTGGAGATACATCGACAACAATTGTGAAATTAACAATATAAATTTACCGACAATAGCATCCATGTGTTTTGCGTCTGCTCATGCTAACATTGCCAGTGCGCTACTGCACCCTTAGTGATTGAATGATGGACACAATAACTGATTTGAGATAAACACTGCATGCAATAAATTACTGACAGACCTAATAAAAATTAACTTCTGTACGTAGTTCTGATCAAATTATTTAACTCCTGCATACGGCACCTCATTATGCTTAGCTCCCATATATTAAGGTGCATTACTGACATGCCTTATTTTGCACATGAGCACTGCAATCTTACATATGATATCACCTTAGCCCATATATACTGCATTTAATTGTTATCATACTTTAACTCCTGACATATATCTCAGCGTCAATTACACATTTCCACTCTCACACACCTTAAATTATCATGTGGCGATGTGATTTTGGTTACAGGAGTGAGGGAAAGTTAAGTCTGATGGGATGTGTATAAGGAGATACTCCGTACCTCACTTAGGGCGTCTGCCTTCTCTGTGATGGTTTTACAAAACTTCATGCAAGACTCCTGCCTCACGTCCCCATCGTGCACCTTGGATAATGTCTCAAATGAGCATTAACAGAGCTGGCAGGGGATCTCGGAGTTGGTGGCCCCCAGAGATGTAGGGTCTAGTCTGACTCTCATCAGCCCCCCCCCCCCCCCCCACCCCCCAGTGTATGGGTGAAAACATCTAACAGAACTCATTTGGAACATGAGCAAAGTCCAAATGTACCACTAAATGACTACTCTCGGTTAAAAGTCTGTCAAGTGAAAGTACTAAACTGCTGAGACTCGGCTCTAGACCAAGGATTTGCCAACAGCTTAGATGAGCAACATCTCCTGGGGGCATTTTCTCGCGATAAAATCCTGTCTTCGTAAATCCTCTGTCATCCCTCAACGTCGTCATCACAGCGTTGAGGTACACCATGACAGCCACTTTCAGTATGCGGATTAGGCTTAAATAGCACATAAGCAAAGTCTCAATATCTGACCACTGTCACAAATTCTACTAACTGGCAAAAAACTGGCCCCCACTTACCCGAGTGTTGGGACCAAACAAGTAAACCCATGCCTGGTGCATGCCTCTCCATACTGTCATGCTAAGGGCACAGTTGAAAAAAACATTAAAGGTCTCTAAGGTGTGGCCCATGATGAGTGGAAAGCTCAAAATACAGTTGTGAGGTCAAGCAGTCATGTACAGGACCTGACGATTCCTTAGGTGAGTCTTAAGTCCAGAGAGCATCATGTGTCGGCTCTGCACTTATGGAAGCCTCCTTGGATGGTGGGGGAATGCCCTTGATCTGGCCCTGCCATTCCTTGAGGGCGACTGGTCTAAACGAGGTTGGTTGCCATAAAGGAGTTCTCCAGGGGTAACATCTGTAGACAAAGGGACAAAGAGGACTCCACACAAAGGAGGCAATGTGTCCCACAAAACAATGGCAACAGTTATCCGAGAGACAGGAATGACGTGTTCCTTTGAAGTCAGAGTACATCTGCCAGAGAAGCAGGGAACAAGAACTGCACACAAATAAGCCAGAAAAACGGATGTACACACAAAACTCAGGTCCTGGTACAAAGACAAAGTCCAAATGGACGAACAATCATGACTTTCTGCCGGAATTCACAGCCGGTGAACAGAAAGAAAAGAAAAAGAAATGATCATAACTCCACCTAAACTCTCATAAATTTTCCAAAATGGCATATACTTCATCATCCTCACAATAAACAGATACATCTCATCATTATGTCGCCTTATATGCCATACATTATATATCAACACTAACACACATGAACTCCCCCACAGGACATCTATTTCATCAACACAGACAAACCCCACCTAAACTCTCACACATCCCATCTCATCATGATCACACCTCAGCTCCTAAATCCAACACTCCATTTTCAGCTATGGGAACAAAATGATCCTTGAGCTGCACCAGTACGATCGTCTTGTCAGTGTGAGACCGCTTACTGGGGTCTGAGTTGCCTGGGGTCCAGCGATGAACCACCGTGCCCTCCATGCCTTTTCTAGGAGCCCATTCTTTCCAGCCGCTCTTGCCTCCGGCTGCTCGCCAGTCGTCATTGGGCCATAGAACATCAGCCTTCTTGCTGATATTAATGGAGTCATAGACTAGGCTTGTGTCCATAATCTAAAGAAGAAGCAAGTACAAATAATTTAGCTTTATCTTTTGTACTATTGCTTATGCCGTAAAGCTTTGCAGAGAGGAGTCAGGTGTAGTTTCTTGTCTGCTACTACTTGTGTAGCTTGTGTTAATGTACTATTAGGTTTCTGTAGAGTTTCTTTTACTCTCTCTACCCATCTCTTTCTTTGTCAGCCTCTTGACTGGTAGCCTGCTGTTCTCATGTAGTATGCTCTAGCTTCTGGCTGATTTGGTTCCATTCTGACCAGACAACCAAACCACTTTATTCTGTGACTATCTATGAAATCACTTCCTGGTACTGTCCCTACCATTGTTCCCTTGGGTATAGAAACAACTGTTTAACCTATGGTTAGTTGCTGGGTACATAAACAATTTAATGATGGACAAAAAACACACCACAAGAATTATAATTATGTCTCTGTGTGAGAAAGAATAGGAGGGAGGAAAAATATAAAAAATAAGACAGAGATAGGGAGGGAGGGGGAGAGAAAGGGAGAAGAGAGGGAGGGGCATGGAGGGAGAAGGAAAGGGGGAGAGAGTGTTACGGCATATCCAGTCACAACATAATCACAATATTAGAGCCACAGCAGTACAGTGGCTAGACGTTGGCCTGCCTGCCTGCCCAAAAGTCTATGGATAAAATCCACAACTGAACACATGGAGAAGGGAGCTAGAGAGTGAAGTTAAAAAGACAGAGAGGACATGGAAAGGACTGCATGCAATAATGAAGGATAGAATGACTTGGCATGAGTTGGCTGGGGGCCTATGACCCATTGCGGTTTAGAAGGCAGAAGAAGATTGCCACTGCTTGCTGATGGTTGGCACCCCATGCATAGTCAAAATCTACACAAAGTGGTCTGCTGCCAAATCACCTATAGCTGAATCGAACCAGGTATTTTAAAACTGCAAACCACGTTTTCAAACTAAACACTGCAAAATATTTTGCTGAGGTTTTAAACATTTGTTAGCAAGCACCGAATATACTGAAACATAGGAGAGAAATGAAAACACAGAGACCAGACTTACTGTGACTCGATGTGGAAGGTTGTCTCTGAATGTGGATTCACTAATGAAGTTTGTGAGGTTGGCTAAAGGTGCGAGGGCATTCACTTTACTTGCTGAAGAAGCGGTTGAGATAAGGCTGCCACGGTTGCCAAGCTGCTGCAGAGGGATCTCTATCTGTTGTGGGTTGCTGATAGTCAGACGTGGAGTAGAACCTGCAAGTACAAGATCAGAGCATGGAATAAATATTATCTCATATTCTTCTTGTGCAGAAAATACAGCTATGAAACCTAGTTCACTGTACAAAATCAAGGAAGAGATTGGCCCTTCTTTGCATTTTTATTGTGTGGCTGTACAGCCGTGCCAATGTTATTTCAAAGTCTGTGATTTCTTCTTTGGCCTTCTCACCCACTTCTTTATCTATGGTTTATAGTTGCAGATGTTTTGCTTTACCTCAAACCATCGACCCGGCTGCTTCGAGATACCAGCTAAGTGATTTTGTGTTTTGTGTAGTACTGTTTGATTTGTATGTGCTGATGAAGGCTCCATAGCCGCAACGTTCACGTTTTGTTTGTATTTGTTATATTGTGAAGCTTGCTTATTTACTTTTCGTTCAGTTTTATATTTTTTCTTGCTTTACCTCAATGTTCCAGCTGAGGATTTGTTTAGCTATGCTTCCATTATCCCTTCTGACTCACTCTCATCCTCATTTTCTTGCTTCCTAACATCTGTAATAGTTGTTCATCTTGGTTGTTCATCTGAGTCTAAAGTTCCAGGATCACACCTGACAATTTCAACTGCAGAAGGTAAATACGAAGACTTCCCCTATGGGCCTCAGGGCTTTATTTTGAGGAAAAACAGAACAGGCTACTGCTCCTTTCAAGCATGACTAATTAGGGGTTTCCTGAAATCGGATGTACTGGGCCAAAAGGCACACTTAAGTAGACGAAGCCTGTAGGAGGAGCGGAGGAGGGGGACACCACAAGTAGATAAAGCCTGTAGAAGTAACATTTTTTTGGGGGGGGGGGGGGGGGGGGGGGGGGGGGGAGACACCAAAAGTAGATGAAGTCTGTAGGAATTTGGGGGGGGAGGGGGGGGGGGGGGGAATGGAGAACACCATAACTAGATGGAGCCTGTAGGAAGAATCGGGGGAGGGGGGGGGGCGGCATCACAAGAAGAAGCCTGTAGGAGGAATCAGGGGGGGGGGGGGGGGGGACACCATAAGCAGTTGAAGCCTGTAGGGGGTATGGGGGGGGGGGGGTGGGCACCACATGTAGATGAAGCCTGCAGGAGGAGGAAGGGGGAAGGGGAGGGGACATGACAAGAAGATGAGGCTATCCTCTGAATAACGACCCTAAATTATCGAGGCCGAAAATTTACCCTAACAGGGCCTCAGTCACGTGTCAATTGCGTACTTCAGGGGACTATACCGCCATCACCAAACTGAGAACTTCCGGGGACTCTACCGCCACCGCCTAGAGTATCCGCCACGCGGCGTGGATTGGGCAAAACTAGATGGCTGGGACTCACGAGCAAATAAAATGAAGGAATCTGCAGGAGATGCAGTAGCTGCTGCTCGTGAGTCTCAGCCATCTAGTTTAGCCCAATCCACACCGCGTGGGGGATACTCTCGGCGGTGGCGGAAGTGCACAATTTAAGTTGCCGGAAGTGCGCAATTGACACGTTACTGAGGCCCTGAGGGTATATTTTTGGCCTCGATAATTTGGGACCGTTATTCGGAGGATAGCCAAAGATGAAGCCTGTAGGAGGAATGGAAATTGGGAAAGGTTAGACATCACAAACTGAGGAAACATGTAATCACTGACACAATGTTTTTTGATAATGCAAAAGAAACAACACAAGTGAGATGGAGCACTACAAATCTCCCTGCATACACATTCAAGTAGGCACTTTCAGCTTACCTATTGTTGCAGCTGCCATCTGGTGACTGACTGTGTAAGGCAGGTCCAGCTCAAAGGATGCGCTCCCTCCAGCACAGGTGGCATCACAGCGCTGTCGCATCCTGACGTTTACAAGAATGCAGCAATAACACATAAATAAATAAACAGTTTTTTGCGTTGACCTTACAGGATTTTGCAGAACTAATGCCACCATTTTCTTGCTGCTTGTGGTTTCACTGGGCAATTTTATGTCTAGTAGTTTGCCATTGCATTCTCAATGATTGGCTCTCAATACTACTGATAAAAACCAAAGCAAAGCTGTCTGCTACCACATCACCTGTAGCTGGAATCAAACCCAGCACCTGGAATTAGGATGCACGCTCCTAGTGTCTTAGCCATAGAAGTCAACTAACAACAGCAAATTATCACATGATGCAACCATGGGGTCTTCATGATGAAGTGATCAATTGCTTGCTTGATGGTCTGAAGGCTGTAGGCTCTATTTCTTCTTCATTGTGTTTATGGCTGTAAATTCTGTCAGAAAGCTCTGGTTTTTTTGAGCTGGCGTGTGATTTTGCTAGGCAATTTTATAATAGTTTGGTTGAACAGCGACTGGTAAAAGGTTAAGAACACTGGGCACTCATATGGAAGACCCAGGTTCAAACTCTCTGCAAAGTTATGGTTTTTTTTGGTCAGGGTTAACAAGAATAAGATCCTATTCTGCACAGTTCATGGTGACAGCACTAGCCATGTGGCCCAAAATGCTACTAAGGTCCAAAAAGACTTCCTGCCCAGACCACAACAGTGGTACAAACAGGCAATAATAGCAGTTTTTTTCCAGTGGCAGTTTTCCGTTGCTTTCTGAATGGTGTGATGCTCATAGAATTTCCTTTGCCTTTTTCTTGTTCAGCGGCGTCCATGGCTTAGGCGTTGCAAGCCTGACTCATAATCCCAACATACCGCGATCGAAACCCACTGCTGGCTGCGTGGATTTTTATCATGGTATGGGGCCTCGCAGGTCAATCGGGCCTAAAATGGGTACCAGGATGGCTATCTTAGGGAAGTAAAGATGGCCGGCGTAATGCTAACCACATTACCTACCTAGTGCTGACTGGTCTGTAAAAATATGGAATGATCTTCCCATTTGCCCATTGAGCCCAAAGGCGTGAAAAAGGAATTTTTACTTTACTAATTACTTTTTCTTCTTCACGTGAGCTGTAAGCTCCAGCAAAAAGTTCTGGTTGTTTGTCCATATCAGGACTTTTGTTCCAGAACTTGAGTTCTGCATGCACATCTGTTTTAAAGATCTGTTAGGTGGCAGCGGGTCTATTCCTTTCTCTCCCCAAAATGGGGTCCCTGAGCCCACATGAGGACAGTTATCAAAATCAAATCACTGCAGTCTACTTCTAACTCCATTATGTTGAGATTCTAAAATTGTATTTATAACCCCTATGCCCCAGATGCTGACATTTGGTAAATGAATTAACTGATTAACACATAAGAGACATGATACTGCACCTGTTCCACAAAGAGCTGAAGAAACTGTATATGGCACTGAACCGGAACTCTCCTCCTATGACTGGGATGCTCACAAGCTGGTCATGTGTGGTTGAGTAGGATGTGGTCAGAGGGGAGACATAGATAGGGTAGCCAATAGGCTGGTCGCATGAAGAGTTGATCATGTTACGTAAGGCTTGTTTGGCATTCTGAATGCTGCCTCTTTCTGGGTTTCGATTGCGTAAGAAGATTAATTCTTGCTGCTGGCCTGCCCACAGGCCTCTGACACATTCACGGTTCACCTAGAAAATGTTAAGAAAACAAATGTAGTATTACTTACAGGAAATTGTAAAGAAATTATTTACAATAACAATTTGTGTGTGTTGCTATTTAGTCATTAGTCTGTAACCTTTATTATGTACATATATCTCAATGTTCTCTCTTACATACATATGTATTAAAATTTTAGCATATTTAATGGCAATTAAATTTAAAGTGCACATACACATATGTCTATGACTGCATTTTGAAATTTGTCTTCTTCTTACTTTTCACGTTCACCAGCTTTTTAAACTTTGGCAGAAAGTTCTGTGTTTGTCCAACTTCAGACTTTAAGCCTTATTCCAGAACCCTAGTGTTGAGTGCACATCTGTTTAACAGATCGGGTTTATTTGTATGCACTGTTGGTTCCTTGCCTTTCAGTAAGTTGTACTTCAACTTCACAAGATTAATATTTATACATTTACATACATTCTAAAGCCAGTGTTCTTAAACCTGTAGGCTACAGCCCATTTACCCATTTAGATGGGAGGGACATGGGGAGAGCTGCGTGCAGTACTGAAGGATAGAACCACTTGGAATGAGTTGGCTGAGGGCCTATGCTCCACTGGTGACTAGAAACTAGAAGAAGATAAAAAGTACACTTTCACATTCACTAAGATCACTTCAAACTGAGATGGATAGAAAGTATACATCCACATTCACTAAGATCACTTCAAACTGAGATGGATAGAAAGTATACACCCACATTTACTAAGACCACTTCAAACTGAGATGGATAGAAAGTATACATCCACATTTACTAAGACCACTTCAAACTCAGCCAGATAAAAAGTAAACACCCACATTTACTAACATCACTTCAAAGTGAGCTAGGTATAAAGTACACACCCACACTGACTAAGATCACTTCAAACTGAGCTAGATAAAAACTACACACTCACATTTACTAAGATCACTTCAAACTGAGCTAGATAAAAACTACACACTCACATTTACTAAGACCACTTCAAACTCAGCCAGATAAAAACTACACACCCACATTTACTAAGACCACTTCAAACTCAGCCAGATAAAAAGTAAACACCCACATTTACTAAGACCACTTCAAACTCAGCCAGATAAAAACTACACACCCACATTTACTAAGACCACTTCAAACTCAGCCAGATAAAAAGTAAACACCCACATTTACTAAGACCACTTCAAACTCAGCCAGATAAAAAGTAAACACCCACATTTACTAAGACCACTTCAAACTGAGTTAGATAACAAGTACACACCCACATTTACTAAGACCACTTCAAACTGAGCTAGATAAAAAGTACACATCCCCATTTACTGAGACCACTTCAAACTGAGCTTGATAAAAAATTCATACCCACATTTACTAAGACCACTTCAAACTGAGCTTGATAAAAAATTCATACCCACATTTACTGAGACCACTTCAAACTGAGCTAGAAAAAAAAAAATACACACCCACATTTATTAACATTACTTCAAAGTGAGCTAGATTAAAAGTACTTATCCACGTTAACTAAGCTCACTTCAAACTGAGCTAGATAACAAGTACACATCCACATTTACTAAGCTCACTTCAAACTGAGCTAGATAAATTTACCTTGACCACTCTGAAGCTGAGGTACCGTTTGTTTAACATGATGATTTTGTATTCATCAGAGCCCTCATCAAACACATGTCTGAGGAGGAATTCAAAAAAAAGAAGGTAACATTGATCAACTTCCTCATTCAGAGCACTTAGAACTTGGCCAGATCCACTGCTTGTCCCGTACCTACAGCGGCCCTGCCAGCAATCTGCTTGTTCCCTCCTTCTTACCCCACAGTGCTCCAGTACAAAAATGAAACTAACTTCTGCCAGACACAATTTCTTCAGAGACTCCAATCCTGTCTCAATCTTCTTAAGCATGCTCATGGATTCATTTAGAAAGCATGCATGGGAAAATGCTGTTACTTGGACGGATCCATGGCAGACAACAGATAATCCATCCTACGGCTACTTCATCTAAAGATTGAAGAGGTCAAGGTAATTTTATGCAGGCACTACTGTAGGAGTGTGAAGTGTTAACCATCTCATCCCAGGCTGCTGCAAACCAGGTTATTATATCTATTATAATCCCAAGAAGTGTGGTTAAAGACACTGGTTCTCTTCAACGGCTAAGCAGTGTTTAGGAGGACTAGAGTATGATTATTTTTACTAAAAAATGGCATGAAAGGGGGGTGGGGGGGGGGGGGGGGGGGGCTTGCTTTCCGGGCTTGTGGCTTTTCTTCAAAAGTTTTTCAATTGTGAAAGGGTTAAATAGCCACAGATATTAAAGCGTGCATTAACAAGATGGGGTGACTAATTACGTTTATGCCTGCTTTTCTTTCAGATAAATCTTCATAAAATGGGGGTCAAAACCAGATGTGCATTCTGTAAAACTCAATCAACAGATCACATGGACAAGATCTAATGCCAGGTAAACTTACCTCAAAGCCAAAAGTGACGGCACATTGGACAGTACGGCATTTCTCCAGGCAGGGTCAGCTTCATGGGAGATGACCATCGTATTTTCATGTTCTGTGATAGCATCGTACAACACTTGACAGTCGTCGTACTCGTCCGGAGATGTAAAGTGATCCTAACAGATACAAATATATTCACATTTGTTTCACAAGATCTGGCATTCACTATGCCGCACAAACAGAGATTTTGAACATGTTATGAGACGTCGTTTATGAGAGGAATGCAAACAATTTCACTGGAGAATAAACAAACGAGACAGACCTCCTCAAGACAGATGAAAACCGTAAACTGATTAGAGAAACTAAACACTGACAGCGTTTTTCAGACATGTTATATAAGAAGGAATGTACTCGAGAACTTGGTGACCACTGGCAACACTCATGGGGAAAAGAGTATAGAGAAGGCAAAGAGATATATATCTGGATGGCTTGGCCACAAAGATGGGTAAGACAAAGAACACTGACCTAATCTATAATTCTGGTAATCGTGTGAGATGGCAAGACATGACAGCCTACACTAATGTGCACAGTAAATAATGATGATGACGATAGACTCACAGATCACTTAGAGCAGAGGCTACTTCCAGAGCCAATGGGGATTTAGAACAACACTTGATGCTCATCACACAACACTTGATACTCATCACACAACACTTGATACTCATCACACAACACTTGATACTCATCACACAACACTTGATACTCATCACACAACACTTGATACTCATCACAAAACACCTGATCATCATCACCATACAACACTTGATAATCATCACACAATACTTTATACTCATCACACAACACTTTACCATTATCACACAACACTTGAAAATCACCACACAACACTTGATAATCACCTCACAACACTTGATCATCACCACCTCACAACTCTTGATCATCATCACCACACAACACTTGATCATCATCCCCACACAACACTTGATCATCACACCAAACAACATTTATCTGACTATACCTGATGCAGCTTGAGAGACATTCTGACCGCAGGGGCTACCACCCGCCTCATCATGTCCATGTCCGCAAACACCCACTCGTCCCTCTGTGACTGGATGCGGAAGTCACCCTTGAAGAGGGCATGCAGCCCAAACAAGAAGAAGTCCACACTGCAGTGAACAGAAGAAGAAGAACAATAAAACAACTTATTAATCATGAGCATAAAGCGAAGAAAACATATGCAAAATGGCTAAATAAACAAAGCAGGTACTAATTTCACTGCAAAGACATAGAGAAGAAAAACTGAAATCCTTCAGGAAATAATGTGTGCTTTTTGGTTCAGATATTCGTCTTCAGCCAGATACTTTTTTGGAACAGAAGTATTTTACCCTCTCTATCATAAATAAGTATTCTGTTGTGTAGGTTAAATAACTGATATTTTTTTTAAACCAGAGACCAGCCTAGATAGTCTGTTCTTCATGATCTCCAAGTGCCATGGAATGCTTCAAGTGTATACTCCCCCCCCCCCCCCCCCCCCCCCCCCTTTAGCATTCCAAGCCCTTGAGGTTCACTGCTGCAGTTATCATTTGCCTCAATTCATCTCTTAGACTGACTTCTTTCCAGTTAGTGACCCCAAGTGTTTGTAAGTTTACCCTTATATTATCTATCTACTGTCTTCTTGGTCTACCTTATGATATATGCCATTTTAACTCTTTCTGTATGCAGCTTTCATATTTATATTATCTATCATTCTCTCTATACACTCCAACCATCGCAGTCTACTAGCTAAACCAGTCTCAGCTTTGATAACTGCACAAAGAATTGCTTGGAGGTAAAAAGAGTTCGGAATATAAGAACTGTATTCTCTATCTGTATGAGCAACAACACACTAATACTGATGTTTAAACATTCAATCCTTTGACAATAACAGACATTGTTCTCAAAATTTGATTCACAAAAATAAACAATGAGATATATTATTATAATTTAAATCTTGAAACAAAAATCATGATTTTGCAATGGTCATTAAAAAAAAAATATCCCACATGATAAATGAGCCTTAAAAACTAACTACTATTTTAAAAATTCTGCTCAATGGAGTCAAATAAACTATTGTTGCAAAATGATATACTACACATATTAACCCTTTTGCCCCCGCAATGCTTAAAAAAAAAAAAAATTTGAAAAAAAAAATAAAATTACAAGGGCAGAAACCAATGGGAATCTCCCCCCCCCCCCACCCCCCCACCCCAATCCTTGTGTAAAACAGAAACAAATGTCTGAAATGCCAACTACATTTCAGAAGGGACACAAAAGTACATACATAAAATGTATGACAATTTAGCAAAAAAAATATTGAAGAAACAAAAATCTAGTGCTGATACCAATATTTTTTGCCAAGCTAAAGTGTTCCTATAAGAAGAAAAAACCACCAATAAAAAGCACGTATGAGAGAATGTGCGCCCAAAATCATGTACATACAGAAAACAAAATGAACGAATAGTGCCAACATATATAATCATGCAGGATTATTCTACTGGACAAAAAAGACGTGTATGTACATGATCCAGGTTTATGACAAACATAACAAATGATACAATTAGTCACTAACTGTTCTTCTTCTGCCCTTAAAAAAAACTATTTTTGCACACTGTGTTGTAGTTTACAGCTAGGCTGCGAGATCTGCGCCGCTCTGTTACCAAACACATCTGATTTTAGCAAACTCACAATTAGTCGCCTTTCATGATATGCTTGCTTGGGGGGGGGGGGGGGGGGGGGGGGTGTGTGTTATTTATAATGAAACAAGAAATAGTATCATTATGTACTATCAATATATTGTTACCATATAAGTCATGTCGATATTATGTTGTATTATATACAACATGCAGAGGTAACAACAACAGTAGATCCCACCCCTCCCCCCCCCCAAAAAAAAAAACACAATTTTTTTTAACAAGATCACAAGATCATCAAAACAATGGCAAAAATCAATAGCGGAAGTCTGAGAAAAACCCCCCACAAAAGAAGAAGAAGAAATGAGTGCTATATTTAGGAAATGTTTTATCTACTGTGGTATCGGAAGCCACACAATCTGTAAACCACAAAGTTATAGCAGTGAGTGGCTGGAAATTATCAAAGTTGAGAAATGTCAAAACATCACTAAATAAATCTGCAACCTGCTGTAGATAAAACATTTGGACAGCATTTGCAACTCTGAGCATTGATCAAGTTTACTGAAAGCAATAGTAGCTACAAAATGGAAATGCTCTACAGTCTATCAACACAATAACTAATCAGTTGATGGAATATAGTGTGTGTCTGATGTCACCTTCAGAAACTGTTTACATGACCAAAGAAACAAATTACATTGTAGAGAAAGTGTAATGTTTTTCGCCTGGCTAGAGTCATGAGTGTAAGTACAAGTATTTGACTGTGAAACATGGGGAGATTATCAAACTATTAGAACAACTGAATACTGAGGTAATGGATATGCAAATAATAAAGAATATGTACTGACAGCAAATAACAGCTGTAAGAATATTACAGCTGTTTAAGAACATTCAGAGCTGTCATCTGATTTCTTGTCATTAAACAATGAATACAGAATGAAATCTATAACAGAAATATCAGGCATTGTGATGGATGGACATGTATAAATGTAAGATGTGCTGGTGACACTCTCTTGAAACAAGTCAGTAAGAACCACAGGAAATGAAAGAATGGGCCCCAAACTGAATAAGGAGAAGATAGAAGTAATGCTATTATCGAAGATACAAACTCTGCCTACATGATAAAAAAAAAAGTCAATGTCATTAGTTTAGGACAAGTACAGAAATGTATCTTGGCACATGTTTAACATCAGACAGCACACATATCAAAGAAACAGAACAGAAAAGGTTAGGCAAAAACATTTGATAAAATGAAAAACATTTTATTCAATAAATCCCTGTCATGGGAAAAAAGAATTAATACATGCTATAAAGAGCCAATTTTAACATATGGGTGTCAAGCACGGACAATTAATAAACACGCTATATCTTTTCTTGAGACCTCGGAAATGTGCTTTTACACAAGAATACCTAAAATTGTGGGTCATGTTATGAGAAGGGGGAAACTGGAACATGTGACCACCGGAAAAATTTGTGGAAAGAGAGACTGAGGAAGACAACATGAGAAGGTTTTTGACAACCTTTTGTCATGGCATGGAAGGGTGTCAGCACATGAAGTGATACATATACTGTTGGAGACTGAAGGTTTTGGACAGCCTTTTGTCATGGCATGGAAGGGTGTCAGCACATGAAGAGATACATATACTGTTGGAGACTGAAGGTTTTGGACAGCCTTTTGTCATGGCATGGAAGGGTGTCAGCACATGAAGTGATACATATACTGTTGGAGACTGAAGGTTTTGGACAGCCTTTTGTCATGGCATGGAAGGGTGTCAGCACATGAAGTGATACATATACTGTTGGAGACTGAAGGTTTTGGACAGCCTTTTGTCATGGCATGGAAGAGTGTCAGCACATGAAGGGATACATATACTGTTGGAGACTGAAGGTTTTGGACAGCCTTTTGTCATGGCATGGAAGGGTATCAGCACATGAAGTGATACATATACTGTTGGAGACTGAAGGTTTTGGACAGCCTTTTGTCATGGCATGGAAGGGTGTCAGCACATGAAGGGAAACATATACTGTTGGAGACTGAAGGTTTTGGAGAGGTATGACGGCTCATGCCGGTCGGCAAGGCCCCTGATAATGATGAGAATAATAGGTTGGAGTTCAATTCCGAGTCACGATTGGCCTGTTGTTCCCACATCAACATTTAGCAGAGACTATCCTTAAGGACTGGGGAAGGAAAGGGGGGGGGGGTGGGGGTGGGGGGGGGGGGCGATGTGGTGAGGAAGAGAGCTGATACTTTATGATAAATGAATTCCTTCTTCTACTGCCTTTCATCTCCTCACTGGATCTGTTCATGGTTGGCTAGATTTTACAGATAGTTTTCTATGGGATTAGGTATTCAGTCTCATGCTAACTGCCCCTAGAGGCCTTCTGTGACATACATGGTAGGTCAGGCTTTTACCTTTCTTTGCTTCTGGGTTACATAAGGTAAATGGACCTAATGCTATCATATATTTAATAATAATAATAATCAAACAGAACTGTTGCTAGCATGTCCATGCTAACTTCTCCTGACTCACCAGCCAAGATTCTTATACAGGAACAACAAATACTAAAAAAAAAAAGATATCAGTGTTTTTGGGGACAAAGAGTGGATAAACATATAACTAACTTAACAATACAATGAATTTCACAACAAATGACATAGTGATCAGTACAATATCAACTTACATGTTGATGCACCCTATTTCATTATCACTATTTTTGATTGGTCTTTTGGGTTAAACATTAATAGTACTCATGATATTTAATTACAGATTGTGTACAAAAAAGTTTGGAATACATAAAAAAATAAACTTTTAAAGTTACGGTTATTTTACCGCATTTACTTAACTCCTCCTGTTCCAGTTCTCATCATTCCTGTTTTTCTTATAGTCCACGACATGCGACACTGGAAGCCATGTCTATCCACAGGTAATCATTTCCAACACAGATCATCTTTCATTACACAGTGACGAACTATCCAGCCTCTTCTGTCTCAATCTCCCCCTGCCTCTTACTTTCCCACAGTCACAAGACATTCCAGTTTTCTCATGACAGCATATTATCCATTTAAGTTGCAGTAATTTCTTCTGTCCCAGTCAAAGACCAACAAGATTCTAGAGATTATTCTGTCCCTCTCAGTTGCTGTACTTCTTCTGTGTTAACCTTTAACAAAGGCAGTTAGTAAGTTGTTTACCAGCTAGGCTGCAACATCCGTGCTTTTCAACCCATACAATTTCAGTAAAACTCTTATCAGTTACCTTTTATGACATGTTTGTGGGGATGGGGGTCTATTATTCTCCCTCTTCCCCTAAAAGGCAGGCTTGGAACCCGCATAGGAAGCTGATATACTGAAGTATGCCATGACAACAAGCAGGAAAGTTGGAGGGGGAAAAAAAGAAGAGATCAAGAGAACGGACGTGGCGATCAATGCAAATCTAATCCCATTGCCCATCAAGTGCTTGGCAATTAAACAAATATGGGAGAATCACCACACATACAAAATG